GCACAGTGCAGACTGGAGCTGGAGCTGCAGGGCACAGTGCAGACTGGAGCGGAGCTGCAGGGCACAGTGCAGACTGGAGCTGGAGCTGCAGGGCAGGCAGAGTAACATAGTGGGCTTTAGAAGCATGGGCTGATTCAGTGGAGAAAGGCGAGGGTAGTTTGGAAAGAGCCTAGAAAAACAGAACCCTGGGCACACAGCCCGTCAACCGGGATTGTGAGGCCTCAGCCCACAGGACCGGAAATAACGAGTAGAGAGTGGGAGTAGAACTGCAACTGGGAAGAGTGCTGGGGTGAAATGAATAAAGATGAAGTAGTATTAAAGTGGTGCCTCGGCATTAAATGTAAAAAGACCAGCAATAAATAATAGATTTTATAATTGCGAGGTTGTTTGGATCACCAGAAGGAGATCAGGCAAGCCCTGGAAAACCATGAGCCCTTGTGAGAATGCCACGGTTTTCCTAGCCGGGGGATGCGGCAGGACAGAGGTCACAACAAATTCTGCTTGCAAAAATATACTTCTCATGGGATTCCAAAAACCAGGTTTGAAGCGAGACAGATGTGACCTGAATAGGCTCGCGACCGACACAAAACCCACAAATTATTTTTTTGTCTGAAGTTATTCTGGACCAGTGAATAAAATCCAGCTCATTAGCATTAGCTGGGGGGGATCAGTGGTGGTGCTCTAGCTGGTGTAAAACTGAAATGAGTCTGTGGTGGTCTCTAATCCAGAACTGTCTGTCCCTCTTTACCTTGTAGGCAGACGTCCTAGTGGTGTCCTTCTTTTGCACCCAGGAACATGGGCTGCTACTCCAGGACTCGTATGCAAAGCCAGTAGGCATGCAGGCACTGCTTGCTCTTGACGTGCCCTTTTATTACTTCACCTGCAAGGTAGGGTTGAAAATCCTTGGTGTTTCCCTCGTACACAAACACTTCACGATTGCTTCAAGTCACAAGAAGGCATCTGTTCATTTCATTGCTTTTTCTTTACCTGTCTTTTGCTCCTTGGCTTCCTTTACGATTTATTTGCGTAGGTGTTTTCACCTTTTCTGCTCTTTCTGTTTATTTTCCTTTCCTTCTTCGGCCTCACCGGGGTTGGGTTTGTCTGGGTCACCCCTTTCCAGCTGCTGTTTCGGAGAGGGTCATTGTTTCAGCCATATGTGAGTACCTGCCACTCATCCCCCTGCTTTTCTTCATGATGCTTTGTGAAGACTCCTCATGTCATAATCTTCGCACACTCTCCTCAAACCTTGCTTGTGAGAGAAGAGTAAGAGTAAGGCATCAAATTGGAGAAAGCTTCAGAGCATCTCCTATGCGCAGCGCAGAGGTTACACAGGCATAATAAGCTGATAAGTTAATAGGTTAAAGAGGAGACTTGAGAGCACAGTTTGCCACGAATGTGCTGACAGTTTTGTACAAGTATTAAGGTGCTAGTTCATCCGGGGATAAAACAATCGTGGAAAAGAATTCAATTTTGGTGTTTTTAATATTACATTTTACAGTTAAAAACGTACTTTTGAGATTTCAAAATGGTCTCCATTTGATAGAGGGAAAAAAAAGCAATTTTATTACTTTTTGGTCAGCAGTGGCATTTTTGTCTCAATTACTTAGTGGGCAAGTTTTGAGAAGCAAATATTTTCTTGGTGTCTTCAGGAACTTTGTGTCATTGGCACACTTTAGGATTTTTGTCTTTTGTTGGTTAATTACTTAACCCTATTGTTGGGTTGGAGCGCTGCCTCTGTGGCTAAGGATCTGCGCCTGTGGCTAGAAGGTTGCTGGTTCAAATCCCACGCCCGGCAGAGGAATCCTACTCCGTTGGGCCCCTGAGCAAGGCCCTTAACCCCAACTGCTCCAGGGGCGCTGTACAATGGCTGACCCTCCGCTCTGGCCCCAAGCTTCTCTCCCTGTCTCATGGAGAGCAAGTTGGGGTATGTGAAAAGACGAATTCCTAATGCAAGAAGTTGTATATGGCCAATAAAGTGATCTTATCTTATCTTTCATTTTCATCACTCCAGTACACAATCTTTTTAGTTTGTGTTTCTTGTATATTAATCTCTCATTTTAGACAGTTTTGTAATTGTCCCTCTGTGGCAACTTTAAACTGTCCTTGCTTGTGTTTTTTTGAAGTGTTTGTTTATTTAATGTATTTTTTCCCATATATATAATAAGATATATTTATGGTAGGAATGTGTAACAGCAGTTCTTGAGGATTCTTTAGTGATTAAGACTGAAAAATGGCAGGCAATTGGATGTCTTGATCCAAATGATTATTTCAGAGATTCAAAGAATTGAGTTCAGACTTGTCCGTTCTCAATTTACAGCTTTCAGTAAAAAAACAGTGTATGGGTTTTTGATGTCCCTGGTAATGCTTATGTAACAGATGAAAGGAAGCATCTCAATTGAATACTGCAAAATCTGTCGATGCTGACATCTGTGTGTTGCACTATGACACGCTGATAAAGAAACAGATGTAGTGCTGCACCTAACCCGTCATTCTTACCTCCATGTATGTGTGTGTGTATCACAGCCTGGAGAAAGAGAGGTGGAGAGTGAGGGGTCTTCTGCTCAGTCCTCTGTCCCTCAGATGGTGTCCCGACGTGCGCTGCGGGACTTCGTGGGGCTGGAGGACTGCGACAAGCCCACGCGCGACGCCATGCTCAACTTCAGCTTCTATTTGACCATCGGGGACATGGACGAGGCCTTCAAGTCCATCAAACTCATCAAGAGGTAGGGAGACGTGTCGCCGTTCCTTTATTAACAGACGTGTTGAATGTAATGGATAAAGGAACAGAGCAAGCCAAGTTAGAAAGTCAAGCCAAGCCAAGCAAGCCAAATTACATCACCAGGGATGTCATTTCTGTGTATAACAAACAGGCATTGGATGGTAAAAAGAATTGACTTAATTTTGATGTGGCCTTGAATTCATTCCTGTGTTGAAGCATAGATGTGCAGTAAACCAGAGATTAAATAGAAACGCAAGATGCAGACAGTAGGACTTGAACCTACATTAAGTAAAACCATATCACATAGTCAATTGATGGGAAAGAGTGCAAGATGGGCCAGAAGGACATTTAAGAGTAAATAAGAATGTTTTGTTTGGGCTAAAATGGGTATATCATTAATAATTGATCCATTGCTATGGGTCATTTTTGTTGCATTGTTCTGTTCTATATCTATTATATCTTTTGTAGCAGCACAATGCCTTGCTGTGCCTAAAACCAAGCGATTTCTGTGCAGGGTCAATGAATTAAGCTGGGGCATGCAGGTTGGCACGTGCATAGTTGGTTGTGTGGCACTGTGCCACAAAATGTTGAGTTTGTGCCTCTGTTCTCCCCAATAGGACTGTGTGTTCATATTCTTCTTGATTGCACCAGAGACATTCTGGGGAAGCATTCGTTCCTTTAGTTGCCATATTTAGTTCAAAGTAGAAGGAAATGTTCTGATTTTATTCTTATTGTGGCCTTGACACATTGTACATGGTCTCTGTGGGTTTTCGGCATTGTTAATGCAGAACTGGTTCTGTTTTTATCTACAGCCAGGGAGAATGTGCTTTTTCTTAAATCGGCTCTCATATCTTTCATCCGTGTTTACCAGACCCCCCAAAAAAGATTTAGTCCTTAATGGATCTTGGTAAACTAGACCAGGTTATTTTTTTCTGTTATTTTAAACTTTGTGAGGACACAAACTGAATTGGAAATAATTATTTTGTATCGATATCGATATTCATCATAAAATGTTTGTGATGGATGACATTCCAGAACAGAACTTTATAAACTGCTGCAGGTACTGGAGTTAGTTTCTTCAAGAACAGAAAAATACCCATCGGCACAAAACATAATTTGCCATGTGTTTACACAGTCATGAATTTTATCTGAATATTTTTATATTTCTCTTGTAGCTTTAACAGTGTTTGCTAATACTTCTAATTTGGTGTTATCTCCAAACTTGACTATTTTACTAATTATTGTGGAATCTAGGTCATTAAGAAGAACAGTGGTCCTAGTACAGATCCCTGCTGTACTTCAGTAATTACATCACTCCAATTTGAGTATCAATGCACAGAAAGGTGATAGTGTATGATGCCCCATTAAGAGTTGTGACAGTGCCACATTTTTATATGCATAGATGAAACATCTCTCATGCTCTTTTCCTTTGCAATCGCATTCCCTTCCTTTTTTTGCAGTGCCCTTATTAAACCCCTTTGTAACTCTCCAATTTCCCCATGGAGAAAATACAAATGGCTTCCCATGTACGTGAGCAAATGTTTATTGTTAAAAAAAAAAGTACAGCAGAAAAAAACATATCCGATCTGTCGGAAATCTCCGAACACTTAATAGCCGCGATGACAGCTTTATAAAAGTTCCTCATTGACAGCTATTTTTGCAGTATTTTTGTGAACTGGCTGTAAGGTATTGTGCTCGATTCCCGCAAAGTCCTGGCCGCTGGCTGACGCAGATCCTGTGTAGGGAATAGTCACGCTGCAGAGCAGTGTGTGTGTGGGGGGGTAGTTACTGGGGAAATGCTAGATAAATGGAAAAAAGAGGGAAATCAAATCACTCTTACAGTGGAGGAGGTTCATGCCTGGGATGTGACTGGATCCAAATGTTGTCTGCTGGATGACCATTGACAATCCCAGAGCATAATCAGGAAAAGGAACATGGTGCACAACCTCATATTAGCCCTGACCTTGAGCTTGTAACAAAATAAGGGGTTTAAGAGTGTTTGAATTACTAAGGTGAAACTTTTGAAATGAAATTCCTGCTGGATATTTTTTGTATACCCAAATGGCTTCCAAAATGCATTGGAATTCATTGAGGATTCTGATCTTGTGCAAGTCAACCAGGTTTCATGAACCTTGAGCTGCCAGCTGGTGTACACCCAAACCTCGTTAAATGACATTTCCACATTTTATGAACAGGAAAGAAAAATGCTTTCTCTTTGGCCATTTCCCAAATGGTTATCATTTTAACAGAAATCCAAAATGTTGTGCAACAGTGTGAATATTCTAATAGTCTCATCTCACATTATGTGTTTAATATCTATTACTAAATGTATTATTTTACCAAAAATAATACAGAATTCTTTAGTCACAACTGTGTTGGATAAAATTTCGTAATAGTAGTAAAAACTCTGTTTTGGCTACTGTTATCCAGTTATAATATATTCATATATACTGTAAATAAAACTTTAATGGACCTACAGTATAATCGTTGATTCTGCCAAAGCCAGTGTTGTTGTCTGCTGTATAACATGTTCTGAACTCCATGAACCGCACAACACAATTCAGTTATGCGATACTGGGTGTATTTTCATCCTGTGTTGAAGCCCTTCTGCTTTATTACAGCATTTATGTTGTAAATGCCTGGAACGTGTTAATTCAGTAAAATACACTTGCAGTATTTCCACCAATTGATATTGTCCTTGACACTCAGATGGAATTTAAAGAGGGGTTATCAAAAAACTGATGAAAAAGAGATATAGACATTATTTTACCGTGTTACTAATGCTTCTTTGAAATGGAAGGATTTTTAAAAATACATCATTTCACATCAGTACATCATGCTTTAAACTACAGAATGGGTCAAGTTGAGCACTGTACTGTAGCTTAGTAAACAGCACAGATTAAGAGTGTTTGAAGCATCCCTTCACAAGCGCTCCACTAAGGAATTATGAAGTCGACTGAGAAGGTTGCATTAACACTGATGTTTAGGTTGTGTACACTCAGGGAGTCACAAAGTGCCTTTAGCAGGAAATCAGCTCGAATGGCAAATTATCTCATTGTTTTTTGGATTAAGTGGCATGTTTCCAACGTGTGTTGAGTACACTGTTCCAGAAAAGGTATCAATCTTGGATCTAATACATGACATCTGTAGACTTTAAAATCTGTTTTGAATTTTTCCCGCTCTGTTCAAACCATTCTCAGCTGAGGGTTGTAAGAATTGTATTATGAAAGAGTGAAGTTAAATGCTATTTTGACAATACAAAACAGTATTTGATAACATGTAGATTCCATCCAAGTGGTTTTCTTTCAGGTTAATTGCAGAATTAATGCATTACTGGTAAAGAAAAAATAAATATCTGTAGATTGTTAGAGACACTCCAGTTATTGGAAATACAGATTTAGTTTTCTTCAGTTGTCTTATTCTTTGTGAATTCAATGTTAGGTTTAATGATTATATCACTAAAAATGGAAATTTAAGGAATCCAAAATACTAAATCTCTTAATTGGCAACAATATGATTGCAGTTTATATTATGTAAATTAATGTATATTTACAACCGTGATTATGGAAAATACACCATTGATTTGTATGGAATGATTTTTAAATGAGCTCAATCGCTTGCATTTGCATGTGTGAGCTCTAAGAAGTATTGTTTATTGGGGTCCTAGTGTCTGATAGAGACATTGAGGATTTTGCATGGAATTTCAGTAAATAACACATTGGTGTTACAAAAAATTATTCATAACATTTATTTTTAGTCAGAAACGTAACATTTTAAAGTGAACTCCATTCAAAAGAGAAATCTGACATCTCAATTAGCAATATAATATATCAATACAATTAATACAACCAAATAAAATTAATTTAATCCGTATATGTACCACTCAACGCAAGGAGATTATCGGTAGAAATTGATCCCAACTAATTTTAAACTAAATATAGATATTTGTTCCTGTAAATGTTTAGCTAATCTATTGACTCCTCAATTTAATTGAAACTTTGGCTGGTTACTACAATATATAAGGAACAAGTAATAGGTTTGTTCCATGCTGGAAAAAAAGAAGAAAGAAAACACAACCTTTCTCACACCTGAAGAAGGCCCCATGGCCGAAACGTGTTGTCTTTCTTCTTTTTTTCAGCATGGAATAATCCTATTATTTGTTCCTTTGCAGCCTACGCATGCTGATGCAGCTCCCCACCTGAACTACTACAGTATATGTTTCAGTTACACAGATCTTAATTCATAATTGGTTTGGGTCACATGGCCTACATTCAAAAGTGTAGTAGAACTGAGCATGTTAATATTCCATAGCAGTCTGCTATGTCTTGTAGTACAAGACGTTAAGTCTGCTGAAATCTAGATAATTTTAAGTTCACGATGAATATTCTGTGCAAAATGTACTAAAAGAAGTGCTGGTGACAAAAGACCAAGATCCAGCTTGGTGTCTTTTTAAACCAAAAATGTGTAGTAAAGGGGTCCAGAAAGTCAAATTAAGGCACATCACAGAACCTCAGGGCTAACTCCTCTGTTTCCACCACATTGGCCCTTAATTAGACAGTCTGTAAACTACTCTATAAAACTTTGGGAGTTAATGTAATAGGCATTTATCAAGGCAATTTGTCCACATTCTGAAGGATGTTACTGTATGATTAGAGTAACCACCATGACATTGTGATAATGTGAGCAAAATGACACGACTGAGTTAGTTACTACCATGATAGAGCTGTTTGTGTGCACTTAAATCTCCTGCCCACTTCCTGGAAATGTTTAGCACATATATTTAAAATTATTTTTGTGTTTTAATCTTTTCTTTTTTTTTCCTTTCCGTACTGGGTTAGCTGTGCTGTACTCTCAGCAGTTAAGAAGTCTATAAGTATTTGGTTCGTGTTTTCTGCTCATATCCCTGGATGTTTGACTTTCTTCCCCTATGTAGTGCTTTTCTTCTTTAAAGGTCCTCATCAGGGGCACCTCAAAAAACGACACGTGGAATGCTTCAAGGTTGCCAGTCTTGGAGATGGTCACAGTTTGCTTGTGAGTTTGAAGTATTTTCCGCAGGACAGAAAGCGATAACACAATGAGAAAAGATTTAAGCACGTTAGTCCAACGTTTGTGCAGCAATAATGTTAAGCCGCTCTCCCGCCACGAGGGAGCCAAGGAGCAGTGGGTTAGTGTTCGGTGTCCTCTCAGTCCCCTCCGGAGGGGTCCTGGGGGGCGGCTCAGCAGGGAGACTCGACGTAGTCGTTGTTGAGCCGGGGGCGGAAGGGGGCCGCGAGCGAGTGGCTGATGACGATCACCCTGGGGCTGAGGCAGTCCTCGCGCCGGTGCAGAATGTTCCAGATCAGCAGGGCGGCCGCCAGGGTGGCCAGGAGGCAGGCGCCAATGTTCACGTAACAGGACCACGACAGGTGTGTGTACGGCCCGATCCGGTAAAACGTCACCAGGCCGATCACCAGCACAAAACCTGCACGGAGACAGGGAAATGTTATTGGACAGCCAGAGGCTTTATTATTAACTGGATACTAGTTGTTGGCTTCTGTGTGCTAGAGATTTGTGTAATGATAAATAATGTCCTCTATTTCTCTTACCTCTTTTTAAGCATTTGTATTGAATGTGACACTGAAGCGATTACATCGAGGACAATAAGGAGATTTCTTTAAGTAAAAACAGATATTTCAAGAGAATCATATATTTTCAAAGTCCGAGTCTCAGGGTCAGACCACAGATGAACAAATCCTTTAGCACTTTAGAAAGTTTCCAGAATATCATTAAAACTCTGTTCTTTAAAGTTTGACAAACAGGGGAGGATGTGTTCATTCTTCCCCCTTTCTGGGCCTGCTGTTCTTCAGCGTGTTCCTAGATTAGAGTTCCTTTATGTGCTCCGTGGGACTCGCTCCAGAGAATAGGAACAAGCTGCTGCTTTTATTTTTTTTACCATTTCCAGTAAGAACGCTGTAACATGGCTTTAGGAAATACAGTTCTCATTGTTGCTTTACTAAAGAAATAGGGAAACAAACCCATATTACATTAAAGGGGGCAGAACTTCAGCTGCAAGTCGGCAAGGCTGCAGTTCCAGTGTGAAATTCCTTCTATCGTATGTAATTCCATAGGGGGAGACGTACATCGCCTTGGAAGGAGAAAAGCGTACTAATTGAAAAGGGCTGGAGCCGTTTCGGGGACTCTGCAGGTTCTCGGCAAGGGTAGAGGCAGTCCGGTACTGGTTACAGTGGATCTTTCTGTAATCCCAGCATTGGAACGTTAACGGTTGTCATTCTTGTGGAGCTAAAAACGAACCCAAATCTAGTTTAAAAGCCCAGTGCTCTTGTTACTCCACCCTCATTTTTTAAGAAAATACCTTTTGGATTTACATTCCTTTTTGGAAGTTCATTCAAAGGCTTGAAGCAATTTAATGATTGTAATGGTTTCAGGTTGCCTATATGGCATTATTACCAGGGTAGTAAATGAATGACAGCTTTAGGGAAAATAAAGACTAAATGCATTTTAGGCCTGTTGTCTAGGAATAAAATTGGTAAGTGATATGAATAAAGTAAATTTGTCTTATAAAACTAATATCAGTTGAAAGATTGTGTATTAAAGTCTTATATTCGAGTTATTAGTGATGTTCTTTGTATCATATTGTATCTAATTTTTTTGTGTAAATAGGTTACTATATTGAAAGGTGAAGAAACATTTCTGTTGTGTTATGTAAAAATGGACACTCCTCAACCTGTGAATGTGTAAAAGAAGTGTGTCCTGTATTGAAGTCTAGCTTGGATCAGCACAGAGTTAGATTTGATCTGGGGTTTTTGAACCTGAAGGCTTTACTGCTGGAGCATTGATATCAGCGAGGTCAGACAGGCGGCTTTGCTCTTTGAGCTGCCCAGTTGAAGGGACACTCCTGGGGACAAGAGGTTTTTTAGGTGGACCCCCTGCAGGAATTTTGCCTTTGAGAAACTGCAACCATCGGTCACCGGCCGACAGCAGGAAACAGGATCGCAGCTTCCTCCAGTGGCCCAAAATAAACTGATTTATTTCAGCAGAGTCATTTCCCTTCACAGGCCCTCTGCCTGAACCCTTTCAGGGAAGGGACGGTTTAGAGGCACGAAACCGCAGAGAAAGAATCTCACCATCTGGGAGAACAGTGGTTGGGGGTTCGATTAGATGGAAAAGCTTCTTTTTTCAAGTATTGATTTGTAATGTTTGCCCTCAGATCACAGCTGGAAGCTGATGATATCATCTGAAGGTATTTCTTAATGGAGTGGCATCATCTTTCAGTAAGCTGCTGTTCGGGAGTGACATTAATAATCGAGATGTACTGTTATATATTAAAAACAAACAAAAATGAAGCATATTTACACACTCGCTGGGGAATTTCACGGAAAAGCTTTAGAGACGAAATGACCAAAATTAGAAAGTTACAGTACACAAAGGCTTTCCCAATCGAAATATTTGTACTTTCCTGAACCACTTCACCGAAGTATTTTGAAAGAGTAGAACAATGAATTAAGTTATTCCAAACCAGAGATAAATGTTGAAAAAAGGATGTGACCGGATTAGGATATGATTCAGGATAGGATATGTTTCCTTTAATCGTTGTGAATTATAGTTAAAGGACCTGCTTGTTTACACTGCCTGCTACTTCTAAGAAAACGAAGCCTCCCTCTAGTTGCTGGATGGGTGGGACAGTCACAGAGCTGTCTGAAACGTGCCTTTTGGCCTAGGGGTATCTTAGGACCTTCCTTCGTTTCCTCCTTTCCTGTTTCCCTTTTCCTTCTTCCCCACTTCAGCAGCTCCACTGCGGAGCCACTCCTTGTAAAAAGAGCTGGACAGTGGGACTTGTACCAGTTCTGTGATTAACTGGTTTGAGCTTTATGGGGTGGGTATTTGAAGAAACGTGGGTTTTCCTTTTTTTCCCCCCCCAACAAACGCTTGCTTCCATATGATTACACCTGTACTACTTTTAAAATCTTGGCTTTCAGTTAAAAATGAATATTTTTCTCACCACAATGTAATTACAGTAATGTAACCAGAAACTGTAAAGTGAAGATATTTTACTGTTGCAAGTGACTGGCGAGTCGCTGGAGTTGCTGTTTGCTGGAAAGTCGAGAGATCCCTGGCTGACTTCTCCCAATCCTCCTGGTTGAATTCGGCCATTTGTGTGTCAGTATATAACTAGTGATGTGACAAAGGAATCTGGGTCACTGGCTGAGCCACCCCAGTGTCATTTGACAAGTAATCAGAGCTTTGAATTGAGCCTGTAAACAATTAGTTTTTTTTTATTTATGCACAAGCTTTTTGTGGCATTTCATTTCGCAAGTGAAGTACACATGAAAAGCACAATCAGACGTTTATCGTGCTTTGAAAAGTGATTGGCAATGATTTTAAAATGGACAAGATCCTGGAAATTGTCTCACTGATGTCTTTTTTCAGGACAGAGGTTTTTATAAAATAACATCATTATATGCTCTTTTTTTAAACTAATGAGTGCTCCTTAAACATTTCAATATGTCATTTCTAAGTAGTGAATTTCATGGTTGTTGAAGTGCTGCAAGAGACCTTTCTCCTTTAAGATCAGAGAAATGTTACTTTTTGACTGATAGTGTTTTTTTATTCATGTCTTCATTGTGCAGTGGTACGGTAATCAGCTAATCTGTTTCTTTATTCAATTCTGCAAGACACAAAGGGATTTTTGTCACTGCTAATTTAGTGGCTTACTTCTCATGAAAGATTAGGTGCAATAGTCAAGGATACTGTCAGGCGCAGCGCCAATATGCCAGCATGGTTTCCTCTCTCTGCAGAGCTTGGCAATGTTTCGCTGGACTGCGGGGGTGTTTCTGCTGTACGCACATGTATCCACTGGGGGCTGACCTTAAACTACCAAAAACTCACTCATCCTGTCCAAGACAACAGATTTCAACACTGCCCGCAAGAGATGAAAGACTCAGTTAATTAAAATGATCGCAGTTCGTCACAGATGTGTTTCTTAAATCGCGCTATTAAATGTTAGCTTTGACAAGCTGTTGACAGATGCGTTAAGAAGTGCTGCATCTTTGAAATAAGTAATGACTCAAAGGGGCAGCAAATGGCAAAACCTGCAAACAAAGGAGGTCTCATGATAATAGTGTAGATTTAATAACAGGAGACACGCCTTACAGGTCAAAAATACTTTTGGGGTTTTGGACTTGGAACTAGGATGGATTTTAAGCTAGTGATACCGCTGTGTCGCTATAACATTCTAATAATACAAGAATACTGTCGGCTGTATTTGTGAATGAATATTAAATGTGTATTGTTAGAGGTAATCTTATTTAAAATTGGCTAATGTATATTAGGGAGGTCAAGTTCATGGTTAAATTACAGGGCTGTTTTTTGTTCTACTCACAAATTTAACTAGTTTAATAATGTTAAAGGTGTTTAAAGTCAATTTCTCTCCAGGCTCTGAAAGTTTCAAAGACAACTGAAATCATTTAAAACATCAGCTTCAATACCTAATTTGCTGTTGATCTAATTTGTACATTTTCGAAACTCATGTTGGAGTGAAAATCAAAAGCTGTCATTTGGCTCTCAAATTGCCATGTTTAGAGGCAGTCACTTCCACACTTGGTTGTAAAATCAGTAGTCCAACTCCACCCTTCAGATTCTCTCCTCAATAAGTTCAACTTGATGTTGAATGTTACCAAAGAGATTAATAGCTGTGATATTATGACGCAACGCCATTCATATTAGCAGTTTGCAAAACCGAAACAAAATGATCATAAAAGGAACTGCTAAAGTCTGTTCATCTCTTTGGAATTTGGCACTATAATGTTTTGTGGCCCTAAATAATAAAGCCTGTTTACATTTTGGTTCATAATACTGAGAGGAGTGACAATCAGGGACTGATTTAGATACAGATTTCAGCTGTATGTGTACAAGGTTGTAACAGCTTGACCTGGAACGTTAGAATTCAGGAATAGTGTGTGACAGATTCCACTGCAGTAAACTAAAGGATTATTGCTCATTGATTTTGGTTCTGTTTAAATGTATTGATTTGTCATGTAAGTTATTACTTATTGATGCAGTAATTGTATGGGTAGAGCTTACCCTAGGGTACCAGATGGCTCGCCCCTAGCAACGCGTGCAAGCGCACATAAATGTTTATCCAGTATTATGAAGGGGACACTTCTCCTGACAGTGTTCCTGTATGCTTTGTAAACAGTAGCATAAAAGACTGCCTGCTTATCTGGACAGCAGCCGTTCCCACCCCACCGATCTGTGTCCTTAGATTTTTGTAATACAGAGCTCTCTCCCCCCTTCCCTCCTATGGCTTCTCTGGTTTGCATAACAGGTAGTAACAGGCATTTCCTTGTCCTGAGCAGGGATATCCTGGCGCCCGACAGTCGCTCCCTGCGCTCAGAGCAGCTCCGGCCCACCAGCCTGCATCCAGGCTAAAATTAGCCGGCCACTGCAGTGCCACAATATGAAGAACTCAAACTCAAACAAGCTCAACAGACTGCGCGTCACACTTCCTCACCAGGGGCACTGGGACAGGCAGCCCTGTGGCTGGGCTGAGGCAGATAGAGGCAGCGCTTAGTCGTCTTTCACGGGTTTATTTCTGGAGCCCATATTGTAACTTTCTAAGAACACCACCTTGAGCTGAGCAGGGCGTGTCAAACTGCTGTTTTAATTTTCAATAAACTAAGTATATTATAGTTTGTGAATGAACTAATATATTTATAAAATGCATAATTGGAATACATTTTTTATTTTATTTTTGATGCAAGTTGAATTTGAATTTTAAAGTTCTAGAGAGGGTAACAGTGCATTTTAGTTACTGCTAACGTGAAACTAAAGAGATTTTAGTAGAGAAGAGATGGGGGCCAAGACTGCATTATAAGTGACACATAAGTCACTTTTTTTGTCGTAAGTGACAAATTTTACTTTTCACATTCCAAGGCAGTGTAGCAACCAAGGGTACAGTGCAGTGAAAAAATATTTTGTGCATTATTTCATATTTTTCACAGTGAATATGATCAGATCTTCTACCAAAACCTACAGTAATATTAGATAAAAGGGACCCTGAGTAAACAACTAACATAGATTTTGATTCTTTAAGAAATAAATTAAATTAGGTGCAACACCCAATGCACCGTATGAAAACGCAATTGCCCCCTTGGACTCAGTAACTGGTTACGCCACCTTTAGCAGCAATAACTGCACCCAGACATTTCCTGTAGTTATTGATAAGTTTCTTGCAGCGCTCTGGAAGAATTTTGGCCCACTCCTCCATGCAGAACTGCTTCAACTCAGTGACATTTGTGGGTTTCGAGCAGGAACTCCTTGGTCCAAGTCCTGCAGCAAAGTCACGATGGGCTTTAGGTGTGGACTTTGACTAGGCCATTCCAAAACTGCACATTTCTTTTTCTTTGACCATTCTGATGTAGACTTGCTTGTGTGTTTGGAATATTTGTCTTGCTGCATGACCTAGCTGTGCTTCAGCTTCAGCTCAGGGATCTGTGGCCGGACATTGTCCTGTTAAATTCTCTGGTACAGAGTAGAATTCATGGTTCCTCCAATGATGGCAAGTTGTCCAGCAAAGCATCCCCAAACCAGACACTTACCACCACGGTTGACTGCTGGTGTGAGGCTCTTACTGTGGAATGCACTGTTTGGTTTTAGCTGTACATAACGGGACCCACGTCAACCAAACACTTTCACTTTTGAGTCATCTGTCCATAGAACATTGTTCCAGAACTTGTGAGGATCATCTGGGTGCATTTTGGGAAACATGAGGTGAGCGCTCATGTTGTTCTTAGTGAGCACTCTTTTCTGCCTAGTTACTTTGCCACAGATCCCATTGTCGCCCCGTGTCTTTCTGATGGTGGAGTCATGAACACTGACCTAAGTCAAGACCATTCTCACCACTTTTGTAAGACTGATAGACATCAACAATGTTTTTGAATGAAACACCAAACTTTGGTGCCATTTTTTTCTCTCCGCGTCTTCTCTATAAACTACTCCAACCCACATAATGATCTGACCAAGTTCACTGTAAAACAATCTGCACAGAAACAGACAAAGGGCTGATACTTTTTACAGCTCTGCAGCTCATTCTGATGTCTGCATTGAGCAGGTGAGTATAATAAAGACCAGGGTACTCACTGGCGAGTTGGAAGAGTGCAGCGATGGCCTCCTCCCACCACTGTGAGTCGTGTGTGATGAAAGGCAGCTTCATCAGCCCCAGCAGGAAGATGAGCTGTCCAGCTGTCAGGGCCACTGTGGCGATCAGGTTACAAGCACGCATCATGTCAAACTGCACTGGGGGACAAAGAACAGGGCATCAAATCCAGGCTCTCACTGATGACAATGCTTGGACTATACAATCCCCAGAGAAAAATCTGTCTCTCAATTAAGTACCTATTTTCCACTTGCATAACACCAAAATCCTGCAAACTAGTTAATGCACATAGTTTACCGTATACCTATATATATACTAAATGAAACAGTGATAACACCTTAATATCAGATCAGTTAAAGTGCACTTTGTGTTGGTGCACTTGAGCATAAGCCTATGTGCATTTGTTAAGCATCATCAACATAATCGGGACCTTAAGGACTGCACTGTTAGGAGTGCTGAAACCAGAATTCCTGCAAACCTAAACTGAAAATCTTTTGTGTAACTGATAACGGCAGTTTGCTTTGTTCCTGAGATTTTTTTCCAAGTTTAACTCTGCAAAAGATGAATCACATGCAGTATTTTAATTTTAAATTCTTATAAATACATTTATGTGCAGGGGTTAAAATAATACATTTTAGGGGGAAAGTATGTAATGTCAAGTGCAAGAATTACATTCAGCATTTCGGAATGAACCATTCTCCCGTCTGTCCAGAGCACCATCTTTCCATAAGGATGGTAGGTTCGCTAAGCAGAATTGAGCTTTTTTTTAAGGTTTTTCAAGTTATACAGTAGATAAGTACTTGCTTGTGGGGGCAACACAGCGGTGCAGTGGTGAGCATTAGTAATAGCAGGTCTGTGAAACTGGGATTGCAGTTCCCTTTAATTGTAGGGGGTGACAGTTATTGTTCATGCCTTGATCTAGAACGCATATTGTCCAAGCTACCTTTTTTATGCAATATCAATTTCTCTTTCATTTGAGTGCTAATTACTCAATCAGCCCAGGTGCCTCATTCTTTAGGTTTTTTCCATTAATTGGCAATCTGATGCTTACAGAAGAGTCAGTATTGATTGTAAGTTACTGACCACATAGGGACTTGGCAAGTTGCAGGAGTGTGTTGTACAAGGTTACACAGCTGGGCTAGCTCTAGGCTATGCAGTTGTGCCAGTTTAGTTGATTGCATGCTGCTTAGATCAGTGTTCCTCTTCACTGTGTTCCGCTCACATATATTGTGCTTTTGTATTCCCCTCCCATACTTGGTTTCTTACACTCCTCAGTTTACCTCATTTGTCTCACTCAGCAGGCACAGAAGGACTCATTTCAGTTAAGCCAATTTGCTAAAATTCCTTTAACACCAAGACACTGGAGCCTTGAAATTAAAATCTTCACTAGTTACTATTCCCTTTACACAGAATTAAAGTCAATTATTAATGCCCAATTCTCAGTCTTCACATTAATGAACACTACAACAATGTATTCTTCACCAGGCATCAGATCTTCACTGGCAATGGCTAATTTCCCTATCCCAAGTTCTTCCAGCTGGTCCAGTGACACCACTTATTAATAAAACCGCGACACAACAGCAGCAACCAATTAGTGGTTCTCTTCAGTCCCACATTGTGGGTTTGCTAATTAAAACAGAGTACTCAGGTTTTAACAAGTGTCAGCTATAATCCTAGATCTCTCACAGAGAGATGAAAGCACGCTAACATGGCTACAGTTAGGTCCTAATGCTCCTGGTTCAGTTGTCCGACCACAATGTACTTCATTCTCGTCGAGCCAGGCAAACAATCTACCAAATGGCCATTTGTTCAGCAGCTATGACTCCCATCGCTATAAACTATAAACCTTCACTCACAGACCTGTGAACTCAGCCTACTACTAATGGGCACCTCTCCACAGTTTAGTGCTCATTTACATTTCACTAACAGCCTGGAGTCTAAATTTTCCTCCTGGCTATTTTTATATGCCCTGTAATTAGCCCAGAGGTGTGACTAATTCCAAAGAAGAGCCTATCCTGTCACCTTTCCCTCATGTGGAATTTCTCTTTCATTTGAGTGCCAATTACTCAGTCAGACCAGGTGCCTCGTTCTTCAGGTTTTTCCCATTAATTGGTGTCTCCCTCACAAAGCCATCTCTCATTACACACACAGACAAACTCTACTTTGATGCCCAAGATCTGTCATTTTTCCCTTTCAGATGCAGAGAAAACTGTTGAAAAAATGTCTTTGCATTAAGTCATTTTAAACTGTCTAGACCACAACTATTTGCATTTCACACATGCTTCTTCGAAAATACAGATTTTTTTCCAATTCTACAGATATACAGTATATATAATTTGCCTGTTAAATAGTAATTTACTTAGAGGAACAATAATTAGGTATTTTATGTGAATTTGATTATCTGTGCTATTAAATATTTTTGTATGCATATAAAAATTGCAATACAAAGCAGTTATAGATGTTATATTCTATATATCTGTGCAGTAGTCTGGTATAAAGTTACTGTGCTTTTTTAAGTAGTTGGATGTGAAAGTTCAGTTCCATTTTATTACCATTGCTTGGATAAAGTGTTTCTCATTAATTTGATTTTTTCAAAATGTAATTTTTAAATGTGCAGGAAAGTTGTAATGTGATATTTTTTATAGATTATTGGTAAAAGTTTACATCTGCTAGGCGAGATGTGTAATCTCCTTTTTGAACTAATTCAGTTGTCAGAAAATGACATACTGTAGATTGCATAGTAATTCAGAGATGTGTTGGTTTTAGGATTAAAGCCTTTACATATGTAAACCAGTTAATAATCAACTATTAATTGTAATTTGTTGCTAAACAAAAAAGATCCCCATTCCTTCGGCTAAACTGAAAACACAATCCAATGAGGTTAAATCTTGTTTTGTTATTACAGTTTGGGGGGGGGTGACAAAGTCATTTAGATGTACATTAAGGAACTGTGAAGAGTTTTATTTTTTTAACAGCATACCTTACGCAATACGCCAACCTTAACGAAAGAACTGATTTGGATAGTAATAAAGCTGTGCTCTTCATTTTAATTCAAAGCACCACGTTGAGCGCTTACGAATTTTTAGTGTTCAACAGTTCTGACCTCTAACGGCAGCTTGCTAGGTGCTCACTGCACCTTCACTTGGCCAGAGAGACTGAACCCCCCACTAACCAGAGTAAAACATCCCAGGTCTGTTCAGGTTCTGTGGATTGATGTTTAACTTGGGGGAGGGAGGGGAAATCGCAGATCATTGATCGTTTCAGGATTTCAACCCCAAAATTTGTTTTCATATTGAAGTGAGTGCACAAGCCACATGTCACACTGTAAAGATTTCAGCTTTGTCCCGATCTGTAAGCAAGCCGTTTTCACGGATACCAGCTTCCAGCCAGATGTGCTGAGGATCATAGGCAACTGGTTGAGTTCTGTTATGGAAATGCACACAATGATTTGTCTACATTGGGTTCGCCAGCTCTTACACTGTATCCCGTTGTTGCATCCTTAATTAAATCAATGTATTTTCTGCGAAGAAGACAAAGGAATGTACTTCTGCTTGAGAGGAATGTAAGGATTCTGAGAAATGCTTAAGAATAAAGCAGCTGCCCTGGAAGTCTTAGCAAGTAAAACCCAAAGTAAAAGTAGACTGCCTGCCGTACTGCAGCCTGCAGGCTGAACCCCCTCTTCCCCTTCCCGCTCCCCCACTCACACTTGACAGTGCTGCGGGACTCCTGGAAGCCCGAGTACTCCGACCCCCAGCCCAGCGTCTGGCACTGGTTCTCCCCCTCCTGGCTGTGCCGCACAGTGCTGGCCACCACCGCCACCTCCCGAGCCCGCTCCGCCGCCGGGCACATCCTCCACAGCCCCACGCTGCGCTTGCGCCCGTCTTCCAGGGCCTGGAACACCCAGCTGGGCGTGAAGGCCGCCACGTTGTTGAGGATCAAGGACAGTAGGGCCACAGCCACCGCCGCAGCCACGAGCCTCTGCACGGCCATATACCCGCCCGCCTCCCGGCTCTCCACCGCGGCAGGACAGTCTCTTTCTGCTCTCCCCCTCTGCCGAGTGAGCTGCTCAGCTGTGGCTCATTGAGAGCAGAGAAGCCAGTAATAGAAAGAAAAACAAACAGTGCTTTGAATCTCAGCTAGAGAACATCTCCGTTCATTCTTATCCAGGATCTTTTGTTCATGCCAATTTAAGGAAAATGGGCAGCCTTTACCCTTCCTCTTCGGATTTAGGTACCGCAGGCAGTCGTGGGTTAATCCAGCAGGCAGTCAGGTCCATTCCACTGGCTCTTGCTGCCCTACTGCTGCTGTGAGTTTGCTCTCTCTTTTCCTATCTGTCTCTCGGGTTTTCTCTCCGTGCTTTCTTCTGCAAGCTTTGTGGGCTGTTTGAGTCAAGCGGTACAGAGGCGGGCGCCCCTGGTTTTTCAAATACTCCACGGGGGTGGAGGAATGCAAGAAAAGAAACCAGATCCCCGGATTAGGTGATGAGGGATGACAGCTCAGCCCCACAGCTATAAATTACTCTCCGAGTCTGAGGAACTCTGCAGGCCCCTTGTCCCCTTGCTCCCTCTGGCAGTACAGTCCTCAGTGCAGCTGAGCTCCAGATGTGAAAAGAGCTCTCTCAGTCTCGGGCTGCAGCCAGCAGCAGTGGACGAGTCTGGGACTACTTGTGTACGTGTGTGTGTGTCTGTGTGCACACTCTGCACTGAAGAGGAAAAGACTGAGCTGGTGAGTGTTTTGGAGAGCACAAGGGCGTACTCTCTCTCCTGCTCCCTCTCTGCGACAAACACTCTGCCCTGCGGCCAAACAGCAACAGGATGCGTTTCCTGAGAGGAAAAGGACTGGGGTGACAGATTTTAGCGCTACTCCCCCCTGCCTAACTGTCTACAGCTTGTCACACTTCTCTTATTCACCTTTGTCTTGTCTGAAAAACCTACACGACAACAAAAATGAATCTGTGTATCCTACATCTGAACACAGGTAGGCCCTGCGTGTTTCTGGACAAGTCCAGCAAATCTAGTGCTTGTGGAGAAGGGGCCAGCCTTCCCCAGCTCTGTGGGCTGTCAGCTGGACTGCTGTAATGGCTGCTTCCCGCCTGTCCCAGGGCCCCTAAAGATTCCGGGAATTTCCTGTTGCCAGACTTTAATAAACAGCACACATCTGTATCTTGTAGAGAAGGGAGGGGCAGGGGCTTTTGATTAAAATGAAGACCAGATGGGTGTGGAATCCACAGCAGTGGTGCAGCTCAGGGCTGCGGTGGAGTGAAGGAGTTCTGCTCTGTGGGACAGCTTGCATTCCTGTGTCCGATTCCCATGCCCAGAGTTCTTCTGAAGCAGTGAAACTGCACATGAAACTCCTCACTTTGCCGCCCGGAAATCTCCTGAAACAATCGGCGATGATGCATTTCACTGTGAACCAACACAGTGCTAACTGACGCATCTCTGAATAAAATGGGTGCCATTCTTGTGGCCTACTGTTGCTCTACTTTTCAAAGTGTTTTTTTGAGTTTATTTTTCCTGAATTTGCCTTGTAAGAAATTGTACTTTAAGAGAAAGTTCTCCGTTTATTGGACGGAGCCCAAAGCAGATTAGCCCTCTGGCTCCACTGGGATTCAGAGTTTCCAATACAGTAATGAAAATGTACGGTTGTATTCCTATCCACACACAAGAGAAAAAAATCCGCTTTTGTGACCTTTCAGAAAGTGCAGAAATATATACATTTTTTTTTCTTGTGATGCTCCTTTCCCATGACTTCCGCAAAGATATGGACGACTGCCCAGAATATTAAATGAAACATTTTATCATCACCACATACTCCCAGAGTGACCACATCTTTGTCCTTGATTCTGCAGAATGAAAAACAGCTTTATTCATTAGGACCTGCCTTTCTCCTACACCCTTACCCTCTGATAGAGACAGGATATTTGTCTTGGGCTTTAAAGAGATTAGAGTTCTTATTGTGGGATTTCTGTTCCATTGATTCATTTACTGAACTAATTCATTCATTAAACATGAACTTTTGTCCACTGACTCCAACACTGATTTCTAAAAGAATATGAAACCTGTAGCCCTTTGGGTATCGTGGCTAGAAGGTAGATTCAGGTTTTCTAGGAATACCGGTACCTCTGTCAGGATGTTGTGGCCTGCCTGTTTTAATTTTCAGCGTAAAATTAGCCAGCCCTTTTCCAACAGAAAAAGCTATAGTTCATACATCGCAAGACAAACTGTGGCTAACTTCGCCTGAGCTAAAGCAAAAGGGTGTAAAACAAACTTCTTTCCTTTCCCTTCTGCCCCCAGTGAGGCCGTGTGGGAGAACATGGCCCGCATGTGTGTGAAGACCAGGCGGCTGGATGTTGCACGCGTTTGCCTGGGCAACATGGGCCACGCGCGGGGGGCCAGGGCACTCCGGGAGGCCGAGAGCGAGCCAGAACTTGACGCCAGGGTGGCCGTGCTCGCCACGCAGCTCGGCATGTTGGTACGCCCACCACAAGGGCTTATGAGTACGCACGCTGACTGCTCAAAGCCTGTTTTATAGCAGTTCGGCCATATGTATGTGAATGTGGAGAGATTCTTGTCACAACACTGTCATAGGTTCATCTCAGAAGCACGGCTGGAGGGGTATGTTATGGTAGTTAGTGTTACTGCCTGTGTGTAAAATGTGTGGCACTTCACGTTTCTGAATGTCTGTGAAGTGACAGACCAGCAGCTCCGCAGGGGTGATTATCTCTGTGTTCGTGTCTCTGCACGTGTGACTTCTTCCCTCCTTCCCCCCTTACAGGAAGATGCAGAACGGCTGTATAGGAGCTGCCGGCGCTACGATCTCCTGAATAAGTTTTACCAAGCCTCGGGCCAGTGGCAGCGGGCAGTCGAGACGGCAGAGAGCTTTGACCGTGTCCACCTGCGGGCCACTTATTACAGCTACGCCAAGCACCTGGAGTCTATGGGAGAGCTCAGCCTTGCACTTGAATAGTACGCACTGGACCTAATGTGTGAAATGTAGCCCCCTTTAACCTATTGTTTCCTATTTGTGTAATACAGCATCTTGGAGCGTTCTGTTTCTTCTTCTTTAAATATGTAAAAAACAATAGCCTTCTGCGCTGATTGGGAAAATAGTCATTCTATGGCTACGTCATTCACTAAGCTGCAGTCTGGATCCACCGCCAGTGAGAAAGTATACACTCTACCCTTAGCACCTGCCTTCCACTTCCATTCCTCATCCCTTAATGTTAATGGTGCAATCGATTAAACTAACCCTGCACACCAGTCTCAGGATGCGTTTCTCTTCCTGTACACAGCTACGAGAAGTCAGACACCTACAGATTTGAGGTACCCAGGATGCTGCTGGAAGATCTGAGCGCCCTGGAGGATTATGTGAAGAAAATGAAGGACAAGTGAGTAAAGCAGTGTGGAAATGGGGAGGGGGATGAAGTCCAGGTGTGTGATTGTATTTGATGTGATTGACGGGAACAAATACCAAATATCGGTTGCATAGTGTACCTCCAGTAGCTTCATTAGTTCAGGCTGTGCTGCTCATCAGTATCATTTAAAGAGAGCTGGAGTGTTCCGGACACAATGCATGGGTGTTACCTCCTTACAGTAAGCTCTGCTTCTAGGAATTCAGCACAGGATGATACTGTGTAAAATGGGATCCTTTCACAGGAAGGCATGTAGCCGTTAAAGCAAATGTCACAGGTGGAACATCTTTTAAATTTATGCTTAATGTAACCATTTTTCACATTTCATATTAGTCCCATTTTTGGAAAATAAAAATGTTTCAGAATTAAGGGATGTATACGGAACAATCAAATATTAAATCCAATAATATTGTTGCCAATACAAACAAAAGAATTAAATCCCAAGGCCACCTAGATGTTGAAAGCTAAAGTCCTGCCACATCTAAGGTACATACATTTTTAGTCCATTACTATCTACTAACAGTGTTTTTCACTGTTTCCAATCAATTTGATATAGCCAAACAAACACATTTGTGTTAATATTATAGATTGGCAAGAATGGCTTAAACATTTATGGCCTGATTTTTTGTTTCTGTGTGACCTAAATAGGGAGTGCTTCTATTTGAAGGAATGCGTCCTTCGATAGAAAAATAATTTTACATGATAAAAAAAGTATATGTACAGCCAGCAGGACCTAGATATAGCAGCAGGTATCCCTGCATATGTGAGATATATTCACAGATTAATTATTTAGTTACAAATTATTACTTAGCAGTTCACGGAAACCAAAACATTTTATTTATGAGTAATGAAACTAAAAAAAAATGTTTTCACTCAAGTAAATGAACACTTTGCATACAATTCACATCTGGCTCCTTGGGATACGACCTCTGGCCAGTGTCAACCTCAGGTCTGCAGTCTAATGTCTTTTGAGATTACTCTGCAGTCTCTTCAGGCGGAAGCCCAGATTCAGAGTCCATAAACTTTTTCTACTGGGTGGACTTTTAAGTCCCAACAAGCCATGAAAGATTTTTAAAAATAGTACAAGTTGAAACCATCTTTTTCCAATTCCTGCAGGTATATAATGGAAAGCAATCTGAAACAAAGGAAACAATTTCTGTGAGCTTCTGTTAAGTCACAATTGCAAATATATGATTCACTATCGGAAAATAGATAATACCCCTAATAGCAATGTCTACGCACCTCCTCTGACAGTTACAGTTGTAAAAGTGCCATGGAGTCTACAAGGTCTATCTATGGATAAATGGGACCACCCAGTCACCGTCTAGTAAGATGTAAAATCTTCCATCTGTTCCTACAGTTCAGTAACTTTTTGTGATCTGAACTGCACTTGCTGTTTGAATTTTTTTTATCCACTACTTGCTATAAATCTTTGGGTTTAAATACAGAAGCTACTGTAGGTAAGCACTCAGCCATTTACCAGAGACCAACACACCAGCAGCCACGTCTCTTGTATGGTTCCTTACATCTGACTTTTTTCCCCATAGCATAACCCAGTGAGCAAAATTTTTAAAAAAAACTAACCACATGCCAGGACATTCTACTACTTTAGACATGATTTGTCACATTTTGGTAACACAGCATTGTTACCATGCGCTTGCTAATTGCCATCGAAGCAGTTTGAAAACTTTGAGTCATTTCTGCAGTGATATCACCCAGTGCTCTCCTCTTCACAAATACAGCTATTGAAAGAGCAGTTTTCTGCATGAGTGGTTAAACATGTGTCTGTATGCAGGAGCCTGTATAAGTGGTGGGGGCAGTACCTGGAGAGCCAGTCGAATATGGAGGAGGCCCTGCGGTACTACGAGTTCGCCCAGGATTACCTGTCTCTGGTGAGGGTCCACTGCTACCTGGGAAACGTGCAGAAGGTAAAACCGATCATTCTTATTTTAGTCATTTCAATTGCCCCTTTTACAACAGTCTGAAAGACTGACACTGCACATATTCCACACCGGTGTACCACACTGGAAAACCACTTAAAATGAAGCAATACGTTCTTTTGTCTCCTTGTAGGTTTTATTACAGTAAACTGACTATTGTTCTGTTGAACTAAATGTTCTGTTTTGTTTCCTGGTAAATCCAAACATTTGTTATAATAATAATACCCGGTGTTGTGTATGGTCAGACATTTCATTGGGAAGCGCTGAGCACAGAGGTAAAGGGGGTTATATAGGCTGCCTTCAGAAATAAAAATATACTATGAAATACAGTTACACTTGCACATATATTTAAGTATTCATTTTTCTAAAATAGTGTAAAGAGTAGCTGGATGACAAGCTGTCAATACTAAGATAGTTTGGAAGAAACCCTTGATTACTTTGTTAGAAACGTTAATGAACTAGATATTAAAGTGATGTTAATGGGGGTAAGATGTGCTCAACATTGACAGTGCCTGGTGGTCCTTTGATAACAGGCAGCAGAAATTGCTAATGAAACAGGGAACCGCGCTGCCTCCTATCACCTGGCCCGGCAGTATGAGAGTCAGGAGGAGATCAAGCAGTCTGTGCATTTCTACACCAGAGCACAGGCTTACAACAATGCCATCCGCCTGTGCAAGGTAGGGGAGCCTTCTGACACCATTACACTACAGCCGAAAGCTGGTGCAGCCAACTGCATTGGTGCAAATTGTTCATGTTCACCTGATTGTTTTCAGAACCTTGGTAGCATTGGCTTGATTACAAATTCTAGTTTTCATACCTGCAGACATGAATTTCTATACAGTCATCTTAGTCTCAGTGGGCACCCATATGTAACCCGACTCTTAGGTATTGTTCTAAAGGTGGTGCTCACATCTTTTACATATGTAGAAGCGCATCTGTGTGTCTCAGTGTTAGTTCCTGTAGACTAATCGGCTGTTCCTGCAGGAGAATGGGCTCGATGACCAGCTGATGAACCTGGCTTTGTTGAGCAACCCAGAAGACATGATGGAAGCTGCGTGCTACTATGAGGAGAAGGGGGTGCACATGGACCGGGCTGTCATGCTGTATCACAAGGTGCCTGCAGCTCACAGCACACACAGCCAGCACTGCTTTACAGAATCACACTGATTGATTTGCATTCTTTTGACTTCCAGTTGCCTATTTCTGTATGCTGATAAATTATCCAGAATTATCCATCTCAGATTAATAGAGAATTTAAGACAGTACTTTTTTATTTCATCCAAATACACCTAGACAGCTTTGACTGATTTCAATCCAGTTTACTTTCAGCATTATTTTGTGATGAGGTGTTTAAGAAGATAAATCTATATTAATTATTGCAGAGGTGAATGACAATGACAAATCATCAGTAATCAAAAATGTTGACACCTTGTCGTGTTCACATACAGTTTAAAATAAACTTTGATTTGCTATAGAATCGTTCACTAATAATCACATTGATTAAGCCTCAGTATCATTATTCTTTTATATTGTACTTAGTAAAGCTGCAGATCTTTGACCATGTACATTTAAGAAATACCAATGACACATATTTTGTACAATTTCCAAAATTTAGGATTTTTAAACCCTTTTGAATATATCCATCATCTTCTTGAGAAACATGATTGACATCTGGCACAGAAATGTGACCCTGAGAAAGACAGCTTGCCTGGTAGCTCTTAAGTGCCACTGATCTGGAGTGTGGAGACTGTGTGCTGGAGTTTGTGTTGTGTTGGCAGGCTGGTCACTTCTCCAAGGCTCTGGAACTGGCCTTCTCCACAGAGCAGTTTGGGGCCCTGCAGCTCATAGCAGAAGATCTGGACGAGACCTCTGACCCAGCATTGCTCGCCCGCTGCTCGGACTTCTTCATCAAACATGCTCAGTACCAGAAGGCTGTGGAGCTGCTGGTAGCAGCCAAAAAGGTAATTGCACTTATTTTGTCTATCTTGCTGACCTCAGACCTCATGTTCCAGTTGTGACGGCTGTGTGAGCACTATTTATGCATCCTGTGCACAGTACTTCAGAACTTTGGTAGCATTGGCTTGATGATCACAAATTCTTGTTTTCATACCTGCAGACATGAATTTCTAGTCTCAGTTTTAGTCTCAGTGGTCACCCATATAAAGATGTTCTTTATCATGATAAGTACATAGCAGATGTTAATTGATCCCAGGATCTCATCCAACTGCTTCCTAAAGGAGTCAGCTTCAGCATCCTGGCAGTTTGTGCCTCCTATATTTAATCTTAAATGCAACTTTTGAATTCTACTTGTGTGCCTATATCCATGTTTCTTTGTTGAGGCTTAAACAGTTACTTGAGTTGACTTCATCAGTCCTTTTTGAATATCCTGAACATTTGAATTACAACAGCCTACAAGGTGTTGCTATGAATTGATAACTAAGTGAAACCCTCCTTCAGTGATTCATATCTGTGTGTCGTAGTACCACCAGGCCCTGCAGCTGTGCCTGGACCACAGCCTGACCATCACAGAGGAGCTGGCCGAGAGCATGACGGTGTCTCGTGACTCCAAGGACCTGTCCGAGGACGCTCGCCGCGAGCTGCTGGAGAGGATCGCTGACTGCTGCATGCGGCAGGGCAACTACCACCTGGCCACCAAGAAATACACACAGGCCGGCAACAAGCTGAAGGTCAGGCAGGCAGAGCTCGCCACACTCCTGGGATTAGACAACACCCCTTCAGGCTTCATCCAGCCTGCTTTCTTTGTGGGATTTATTGTCATTTATGTGGCTTGGTGTTTCAGGAATTGTGTTTTAAACTTTTGCTATTGCAGTTTCTTTTGATGTACAGGGCTTGCTGTTTTACAATTATAGGCGTCTCTGCTATAACGCGACAGATGCGTTCCTATAAAACCTTGTGTTGTGCAAACTCATGCAATAAAAATAACAGGGCTCATGGGAAAAATAGGGTTAGGGGCAGACCACTCAAAACCTTGCCAAATGCCTAACCAAAGCTTTACCAAATTTAATAATTATCCTAATAAAAATGTTAGCACAGTCAAATACAAGTTAAATTCATAATAAAGACAGAAATACTACAGTAAATTTAGGACTTTACCTTGAAAAAAAGTTCACCGCCTGGAATTTTATCACAAGCACGGTTCGTAGACACATTCTTGTCACCTTGTTCACTCATATGTACGGCAATTCAGAAGATATAGTGCAAAAAGCATGAAAAGGCTCGGAGCACTTCCTAATTAGCACTTCCAAAACAAAGCACGTGGGACAACTGAGCATCATGTGTATTCCTCCGCGAACCGCAGATGACTGTATTTATTAATTTTGAATTGAGAATTATCATTTAATGAAAGGAGAGAAAATGACTCGCTCCCTGGAGAATTATTTAAATGTACTGAAATATGTAGATGATGCACTTTCCCATTTACATAACAAGGTAAAGTAAATATCAGAAAGCAGTTTCTGTTTTGGGCTTACATTACATCCAGATGAAGTGAAACTGGATCAGTGTTATTGAAAGTTGCTCGACTCCTTGTCCTTGATGGGCTCATGGGTTGCTCAGTGTCTCACTGTTCCATTACAGGCCATGAGGGCGCTCCTCAAGTCTGGAGACACGGAGAAGATTGTGTTCTTTGCCGGGGTTTCCCGCCAAAAAGAGATTTACATCATGGCAGCAAATTACCTCCAGTCACTAGACTGGCGCAAAGACCCCGAGATCATGAAGAACATCATCACCTTCTACACCAAGGGCAGGGCGCTTGACCTCCTTGCTGGTTTCTATGAGGCCTGTGCCCAGGTGGGTACTGTTGGATATAAAGAGTAAGGTTTCTTGTGTATCTACTCAAGCTAGACACCTGAGCGATTACTGTAAGTTACCTGCTGTTTCAGGTTTGAGATGCTTTTGAAACATAAGAATTTATAACTCAATAGTTGTAAAGGCTTCTTTTTATGTGAATGAGGGATGTCAGATTCCCCCGTCACTAAAAAAGGGTTTTTTAGTGTGTAGCCATGCAATCAGTACCTTGTGTCTTTAACAGGAGCTTGTCGATCAGCTCCTTCACATCTGTGGGCTGGCCAGTGCAGACTCAGAGGAATTGGTTTGTGCCCTCAGGTGGAGATTGATGAGTATCAGAACTACGAGAAGGCCCTCGGTGCTCTGACTGAGGCCTACAAGTGTCTGACCAAGGCCAAAGCCCGCAGCGTAGAGGAGCAGGAGGGCCGCCTGGCAGAGCTGCAGCACAGACTCGCTCTGGTGAAGAGGTTCGTCCAAGCACGCAGGTAA